TTAGTATAACGTTTCCACATCATGTAATCGCCACATGTATTTAGGGACCTTGTAAAACTTTGCACCAGTAGGAAATGTGGTAACATCCTTTCCCTGTAAATGAAATTACTTGCCTAGTTTTTAATTCCTTTCTAGGGCTTCCATTTCCTTATTTCCATATCCACATGGAGTCTTGTGGTTTCAAGCACTTGGTTTAGGTAATGTTTGTATAAAAATGTGTTCAGATTGCCTTAGCCTCATGGAATAAGATCAGCACTGATGTAAAAACAAATAAAAAAAATCACTCCATTCATTTCAAGGTGGAAATAAAAAGAGTAGATTGATAATAAGATGACTATAAATTGGCTTAGTAGTCCTGAATTGCCCTTATTAAGAACTTAGCAGTGAATACATCATTTTTGCCATTTCAAATTTTCATTATCATTTCATTGAATTATTATTGAGATGTATTCAGTGCTGCAATCATATGCATTTTAATCCAAAAATTGAAAAAAAAAATCTTGCTATTCATGAAAATGATTCCATTTTGGATTGTTTGTGGAACAAACTTTAGGGAGAAAATAGTTGCATTCAAACTAACCTGTTTCCATTAAGTTTAGGTGTCCCTACATGAAACATTTTAAATGTGTTACTTGTAGGAAATATATTACTTGCAGGGCCAACATTACATGACATGTTTGATAATGAACCTGAATTATATTATTAATTCAGTGGAGTCTTGGAATTCACAGGGATTAGGAAGCACAACCTCCTAAGAATTTGAAATCTCTGAATAACCCCTCTAAAAATGCTCAAAACTGCCAATTTTAGATAGGTCAAACATAAAATATAGTTTAGTATGCATTAGGATGCACTGTGGAAACATATAGAGGTCTTCCTTATGTCTTCTCATGGGGGTACAGCTAGTCAGTGACAAGAAAAGTGAATGGCACTCATGGATTGGCTGCTTTGCAAATGCTGGCCACTAGAGTAAAAAGCAGCATTACGCCTTGGTATTTCATATTCCTAAGTTGCATTATCTTTTAAACATTTTTTATATGCTCTTTGGAAAAATCTGCAAATCGGCAGGATTTGAAAAATTAGATTGAAATCCTGGGACATTTGTGAGACTTCCATAGAATGTTTTCTACCATTCTCTTACATTTGTCTTTGTTTTTTTATTAAGTGGAGCTCAAATATGAGGGATTTTTTACATTCAGGCAACTTCACTACATATTCTTCACTGAGCAACTTTGTCCTCACATTTGAAAACTTCACTTACTGTCTTTCACTTGTAGTTTATGATATGGCAGACTCTGTTTTCTTTTATGTGCTAGATCTAATTCTAGTACATAAAATGACTAAATCTAAATAATGATGCAATTGAAACTGAAAGAAAGTAAATGGAAGGAGCACTTTTTGAATCAAAGTCATTGGCAATAATCTCCCCTTACAGATATTCACCAGAAGTATGAATACGAAAGGCAGCTTATTAAATAAATAGGGTTCTTTCTTTGCAACTTGAACATGTTTTTGTGTATTCTGTGTCTTGGAGGCCTGCAGTTTGATCTTTAGTTCCTGAAGTGTTTTTATTTGCTGTCAAATGTAGTAAATGGGTCTAGGTTTCTCTCTGCCATGCACTGCATTTTGAATGCTTTCAAACCCAAGAGCCAGTTTGAGTAATAGTAATTGACACATTGATCTAATAGGGCCATCATAATAGGCCTGTTACTGAGCTGGGCAATGGTGCTCGGCGTCACCTTAACATGTGCAAGGACTGACATCCCGCCATGATCCATAATGATAATTGTGATTTAGCCTTGCTTTCAACCAACGCCCCAATGTCCCAGCATCAGGAAATCATATTATATCTGACCCCGCACTGCCTCCATTAGAACTGAGCCATTTGTTAAAATACTGCTAAAACAAAACAATTGAACTCTGTGCCATTTTGATTCTATAACAGTGGGTTATCACTGTCCCTTTGAATCAACCCAAAAGGACCATTTTTCAGCATATAGCTTTGAATTGGATAGATTGGACTCTGATAATGCTGAAATCGATGTTGCAGCCACCTGAAAGTAAATTATTGTTGGGAAGAAATTCAGTATTAATCTTAATGCTTTTAGTCTTGACTGGTAGGGGTAAGTGTAAGTCAGGACCTTTGAAATGTTGACGAAGATGTCAACCATTAAAAAGGAAGAATTGATTCAGGGATTGTTTGAGTCATCTTTCAGTGGCATCTCGTCTTTTTTTTGTTGACAAAATATTCCTGCAGAACGAAGCAAATTATTAATTTTTTCTTTCCAGTATAACAACCTCACACTGATGAATGCACTGTAATGATGCAGTTTGGGAATAGTATTAGATTTCTTTGTTTAGATTTTTTTTATAGATCCAAATTCTTCATTGCTGTTCAGCCAGCAGCTTTAAACATCGCCTTTGCACACACTACTTTTCATCAATTTTGATGTAAGCATATTAGCTTTACCAGTGGAGACATTTGTCTCGTCTAATTTATCTGAACTTTTAATTGGACTGTAATAAGGAGTGTTTATTTGTAGTGACATTGAGTTTTTTAGTGTCATCTCCAAAAACACATTTGAAAGAATCACAGTTTTATGCTGTCCTTACACTGACTCCAGCAGACACTCAAAGGTTTCAGGATCTGAGAACTCTTTGCAGCACCAGTTTAAAAATGGCAAGAATTCACATTAGGCACTTAGATCTGAAGAAGGTTCTAATTACAGCTTTAAAATGCAAAAAGAACAAATGGGAGTCAGACCCAAAAGAAGAATGATGAAGCATTCATTGCAAACAACTGTTAGATTGAAATAGGCTGTTCTCAACTGATTACCAGTTTCAGACCCCAGCAATTAAAAGCCCAAATTTTGGCAAAAAGTGGGATTTTGTGTCTTTTCTGTCATGACATGAGGATCCATGTAGATTAGGGCTGTTACCATGTTCACGCATATGTTTAATCTAACGCTACAATGTGTTAATATAGCACAATGCAGTAGTGGAGGAGGGTTATTTAGTTAAAAGCATGCATTCAACAATCCAGAGTTGCAAACGCGAGTGAAAGCTGAGTGAAGAGAGCCAGACTCGTGTGCTGAGCAGCAAATTTTGCTTTAAACAAAACCAACATGTTTAAAGTTGTGAACATGAGGCACTCATGTTCACATGAGCACCTTTCATGTGAACATCCCACATTTGAATCCTGTCCTTGGACAACTCTTCTTCTTACTTCTATGGCTCACAGCTACAACGCAGCAGCTGTTTTTTCTGATGTCGTGCACAGATTTTGATTATAAATTCCCCATAAAAGATGCAGAATGTCCAATCTCAGTGATTGCTGGAACACTTTAGTGTGCTTTGATCTTTTTTGTTATTTTTAAGATTTGATCATTGGCTTCCAAATGTCCAAGAAGTGTCCCTGCTGAGACTATTAAAGAGTCCACTCAGTATGTATAAGCAGAATAAATGGATTGTTGAAAGAAAGCACTCTGATTCAAGGTTTAAAAACAAAAGCATCTTTTTTCTTCATTCGGTTGTTCTCAGCCAGCGCGGCACCACAGGCCTCACCAAGGGTGACAGAGGACAGAATACCAGTGGAAGCTTTTCTCACAAAGGAAGGGAAGGGGCACTGGGGATCTGGGCTAACTGTGGTGGTGGGGTCTTTCTTGATTAAGATTTATGTCCACATTTGTTCTTTGCCAGCAGCCACTGCCTGCTGGTGGAGAAGCTTGCTCATGCAACTCATTTCTTAGCCGTGATGATTGAAAGACTTTTCCTAAATGTGTTTTATGTCAAAGCATTTCCTTTCCTTTTGGGCCTCATGTCTCACTCTCACTTTGAATTTCTCCTAAGGATTAGAGCAGCGGGATGTGGTGGAAACAAATACTGTATTGAGCATATTTTATCCTTCAAATGTAAGCTTCATTCTGTCTGTGAGTGTATAATCCTAGTGTACATTTATCCAAAACATACTGATCTGTGAAGAAGTACTATTCTATGTAAAGCTTATATATATATATATATATATATATATATATTATATATATATATATATATATTATATATATATATATTATATATATGGTATTTCTTAAGATACATTTCATCCAATCTGCAAACAAGAGAAGAAGTTGTGTTGATTTTCTGCAGTGTTTTAGAATTGCATAGGGTTGTGATTAGAGCTACTGCAGTTCAGACTGTTAATAAAGGTACCGCAGCAGTTTTTTTTTTGCTTTACATATTCCCATTGTCTCTCTGAAGCAGACGGGCAGACAGACATTCAAAGTGGAGCAGCAAAAGTCAAGTCAGAGTTCATCTATATAGCATATTTATAGATGAACTCTATAAATATGCTATATTTATAGAATAAATATAGCATGTTTATGCTATAAATACCATAAATATGCGTGGTCTTCAGTGGTGCTGAAGACCAATGTGCTTCAGAACAATCACAACGTCACAGATAGAGAAATGACAAACATAAAATAAAATAAAAATAAAATGAAAGCAAATAGATGTAAGTGCTGATATCGTTCAGTACATGTTACTGTGAAATATTGTCTCTGCTGCCTGGATAGTAAACTGCTACTTTGTCATGGCATCCAAAGCACCAGTCAGGAGCCTCTTCAGATTTGTTACAAGAATAACGCATACCGGACATCCTTCCTGCTCACAGCATCACCACCCACGACAACTTATACTTTAATAATATGATTTGTAAAAACCATTTGATAGAAATATGTTACCTTGGAATCTCTCCTTGAATTGTACAAACTGGAATAATGAGCCAATTAAGCAAAAAAAAATATATATATATATTCAAATCAAACAGCCATTGTGCTATTTCTAATTCATCTGAATATTATGGCACAACTACAAATTAATATTCCTTCACTTCATGACCCAACTTTGTCAACTAAAGATTGGTCCTTAACAATTTTCAGATGGTAAATATTAAAATGATATTTGCTGTATAAGCTTATCATGTGTCTCTGTGTTTTCAGGACCAGCCCACCTTATTGTTGTGCTGACTTGTATTCTTTACGGACAGGCGAAATGGTTAAATCCATTCAGTTCAAGACACCGATCTATGAGCTCCACTGCAACAAACAGTAAGTCTCCTAAAAATAGTTTTCTCTCTTAACATTTTCCAGAGCATCATCTTTCTTTCTTTTGGTAGTATTCTTGTGGTGAGCCTTCAAGAGAAAATTGCAGCCTTTGACAGCTGCACCTTCACCAAGAAGTTCTTCGTTACAAGTAAGGATTCTTATAGTTTGAATGTTTCATGAGTAAATTATGTCCTCTACATTAATTCTTTTTGTGCAAAATGTTCTCTCTTACATTTGTAATTGATGACAATTTCCAGTTTCAATTACAAACTTTTTTTCAATTAAGTACTGATACAGTATTGTTGGCTGATACTGATTTTAGAGGAAAGTTTTCTTTGTATTAATTCAAATGTTTTATCTTAATTAATCAATGTGGCTTATTAATTTGAATTGGATAAATGATTAATGTCAGACAGAATACACCTCAGCTGCCCTGGTTACTTAAAAAAACACACACACAAAAAAAATAAAACATTTTTGGCCTTAAAGTTCAGCTGAATTAGATCATAAAGACTGTGAGTGTAATCTTTTTTGTCAGAAAAACATAATTAATTCTTGTGATTCCCAAATGGTGTATGAGTATGTTTCAGATTATTTTAGTTTTGGAGGGCTGCCGATCTACTGTATATGGGCTTTAGATTATTAGTAGATTGATTTTTTTATTTTTTGTAATTTCTTTATATTTTTTATTCAGGACAGATCAAATGTTGAAAGGTTGAAATATTTTTTGAAATATTCCCTAAATATCTTGCTAATCAACCATAATGGAGTTTCTCCTGAAAATAATCAAAATAAAGGAAAATAAATTAAACACTGGTGTGATACTGTCTAAAGTCACACAAATCACTGATCCCGAACACAATTTAGAACTCTAATGTTGACTTCATTCCAGAAGGCTATGCAAGGGCCAGCATTGTCACTCACTAATGGGTTTTATTGCATTTTAGACTAGAACACCCAGATTTCAAAAATTAGTTGTTTCTTACTTTTCCTTGTTGGTTATTGGCATAACTGCCAATAACCATGTTTTTTCTAAAAACATGTTTTAATACCGTGGCCCTTTGGTGTAAGAGAAGAAAACGGGCATCTTACATGGCACCAAGACTTGGTATAGTGCTGCACTCAAGTCCAGCTTTTCTGAAACATCATCTGAGACCTCACAGTGATTCTGTTTACAGCATTACTCTTTTATCCTGTTTGCTGTACCTTCATGCTCTGCTTAAGGAGGCTGTGAAAGAAAGACCAGACTATTACAAGGCCATCGCTGTCCACTTAAGTCATTGACTGGAGTAAACTGACCTTACCGAGAGGCTTTAATGTGTCTCCTCGTTGTCTGCCTGCCTTCCCTATCAGCGTCTGGGCAACAGGAAACCAAACATGCTCAATAGTTATTAATCGTTTCTGAATGCAGGGGCCTCTTCTTCATAACGTTATTTGGTCTGTTTGGTCCATAAAAGTGGTAAACAAAAGGCCCTGTGATGTTCTGGGATCTGTTTTGGATAAGCCATTCTGCCACTGCGTGTCCACTGCTTCTCTGGAGATATGGTGGTGTTTGTCAAATTTTTTGAAAGCACTTAGTGTTGCGTTTATGCTCATGCTCTTTCTTTGAATCCAAGTGAGCTGGATCTCTTAAGAACGAAGCAGCTACACCATAAATCAATAATTTCCCTTTGTTAGGCAACCTTGTTTTGACCAGTCAACTTGATAATTTTTCTTTGCTTTTTTGAAAATGATTCATCATAGTAATGCTTATTTGTTTTATTTAAGCCACTTCTCACTTCTTTGACTTTTAATTGCTTAACTTTAGATTTGTCTTACACAGTTTGTATTTCTACTTGTCACTATTCTTAAAAAAGTACTGATATTTATGTTTGAAAATATCTTGTTTTTCTCTGGAACTAAATGACCACAAACTTATTTCATAAAAATGCATGTAAAGATGAACTTCCTGTTCATCTGTGCCAGATGCGGAAAACTGTAGTGAAACTGAGCATTGATTGTTGATTCACAGTTTTTTTCCCTTAATGTTAGAAATCAAGCGAGTCACAATTGGCGCTTTGGAGAATATGTATGAAGCGGGGAGTTGTGTTGCAGTCATTGTTGGTTTCATGATGCCAGCAGCTTCAGATTTACACGTGCTAAGTCATCAATAGAGTAAAACTGAAAATGGAATTCCAACTTTCTTTAAAAGTTGCAGAAAAAACTTTCAGTGGGATTTTCTGACTGTTATTAAACCTGCGATGCACATTCTAAGCACAAGCTGTTTCAATGCATATACTAAAGAAAAAATAATATGGAGTACTTGTTTAAAAGAGCTAAATGCTAAATAATAAATTATTTTTATTGTTTGAATCAAAGACCTGCAGAAAAACACATCTACACTTATGTCGCTTTGGAAACAGCCCTAAATTTAAATGTCCTTTTATGACCTTAAGTAAAACTTTATTTTTGTAGCAACTTTCATAGACATAGATCACAAAGTGTTTCACAAAAGCAAGATGATTAAAACAAACCAAAAACAAACAAACAAAAAACACACAGCCTTGTCCTGTTGAACTTTTTGGGAACTTGTGTTCGACTTAAAGATAATGTTATCAGTTTTGAAAAGCTAAATTAAGACTCACCACATTGTCTTAACTTAGGCAGCCTGGTCTAAATTAAGACAATGTACATCATGTTGCTCAGATGTACAGCAACACAACATATTAAACTGTTATTAGTTAATCAAGACAGATACTCGCATGGGGAGTTCTGCTCTATTCATGACTTGGAGTGAGTATCCTAAGCTTCTTTTAATTCCCCCATCATGTCTGCCTCCTCTGCACATTCTGCTCTGTTCTCCACCCAGGATGTCAAACATATGTTATCTCACTGTCTGACTCAATACCACCTCAGCCTTGGCAAGGTTACAAAAAGCCTCACTGGCGTTACCAGCAGCACTTGTGGCTTACCTCAACTACCCCCTCTTTTCCCTCCATATCAGCCCCTTCCCCGCCACACACAGGGGAGAGGGGGGTGTTCCTTCAACTTTCCTGCTGGCTGAGCTGTAAATTGTTCCCCCACACCTATGTGCATGCAGATGAGCTGAATGTGTGTGTGCGCGGGGGTGTGCGTGCGTGTGTGTGTGTGCATGTTGATTGTGGGCTCCAGAAAACATAACCATCTTCTTAACCACGTTAGTTTTCCCATGGTTGTGAATTCAGTTTTACCTCTTCTTATTGGAGCTTTGCTAAAGTTATTTATCTATAGTAATTAAGTGATGCAAATTTTTCTCGACATCTTGCCACAGCATTTCAAGTTGAAGCTTGAGCTTTGATTCGGTCAGTGAAACATCATCATTCTTTGCTTTCTCAGCCATTGGGTTTAATTGTTGCTACTGTGTTTGGGACCTGGTGCTGTGTTACACGAGCCAGTTTAGGCCAAACCTCAGCTGTTAAACTCAGAGTTCATGTCATTTTAAATGACAGCTTTGTCCACACATTTGACTCCCAATTCCAATCTGGAGTTTGGGCTTATCTAGCACTTTCTATGTCCGCCCATAAAGCACCAACTCTTGCGATGAGAAAACTCTTATATGTTGATCCAAACTCTTTGTTATAGCAGAGGAAAGAAGCAAAAAATGCACCTGCATTCTTTCAGGGTTTTTTTTGTCAAAAATCAGTTGATTTTTATATTTTTTTACATTAGCAAGGAAATAATTACTGCACATTTCTAATAACTTGAAAAAAAAAAAGAATTAAAATTTTCTGGGACATATTTACATTGAGTAATACTGCCAACCAAAAATAAGTTATGGAGATAAAAAACAGTTTTATATCTGCTAACAGATGTTTATGCTACTACATAATATATTTATATTGTGATAACACATAAAACCTTTGTATGTTGAACATAATATTTTTATGTAATCTTATGTAAATAAAATTTGTTGATTTGACAGGCACTAAGTACTTGAGCGAAAGACAGAAATTAAGTTAGTTCTACTTTTTGTCATTGTGTGGGGCCGATGTGCACAATAAAACCAAGTAAATGTAAAAAAATGTTTTTTTTTTTCCCTGTGTATGGATGAAACAATAAATTTGGTTAAATAGATTAATAGATGGAAATAAAAAATGTTTCACTGGCCACTCAGACATTTTACCTGTTTTTCTTTTTTTCTTTCAAGTACAAAATCCTACCAGTACAAGCAAATGACATAAAGTATATGATTCTTATCACTATGAAAACCAATTTACTGACAATAAGTTTACGATATATATGTATGTATACAAACTAATTTAACATAACAAAGCCTGGACATCTTGACAGAGGTGTAGTGCAGTAAGTTCATTTGAAGTGATTACTAAGCAAATTTAACCACACAACCCTAACATTCTTGCAATAATTTCTGATGCTGAACAGTTCCACATTTTGGCTACAACTGCCCCAAATAGTAGACAAGATGTGTCTGCATTTTAAAACATTTTTACATGCTATCAGTAGGTGTTTTCTAACTGTTCTATTTGTTGTTCTTATTACGTTTTTCATTAAAATTCATAATTATTCTTATTACTAAAATATCTCAAAACATGTTCATTATCATTTGGCTACTGGCATATGCTAATTTCCACCCCTTTTTGTGATTAAAAGTATTTTGATAATTGACTAAACTAATCAAAAGAACAACAGATTCAGAGCAATAATTAAGCCAAAACTTTACAAAAACATACATTTTGCATTTAAATACTTAAATAGATACTTTTTACTATAAAGCTGTTCCAACCAGAACTCTGAATGTGGCAGTTTTAGCTTCACCTTGTTCAAATTCTGTTCAAAGAAAGACTCTAATTAAGCACCTTTCTCTGTATGTTTGCTCTGACTGATCATTCTTGTGTGTGATTACATGGGTTCTTTTCTCACATCTAACCACTTTTACTTATAGTATAGGTCACATTCGCTTGAATGTGTGTGTGTGTGTGTGTGTGTGTGTGTGTGTGTGTGTGTGTGTGTGTGTGTGTGTGTGTGTGTGTTTGTCTATCCCTAAAGGGACTATAATGTTGGTCAATGAACAAAGGAAGCATCCTCAATTTATTGGGTATCACAGACTCCATTAGGTCATGCTGTGCACCCCCAACAGACACGCAAATATACGTCACCCTCATTAAACTCCCATTTATTCTCCAAATACAGAGACTGCATACAAACACATTAATGACAGTGGGTGTATGTTGATCCTTTGCACTACTAGATGACAAAGTTATTTATCAAAATAACTTTGTCATATTATGTGATTTAATATGTTTACTGTTGTGTTTTTGGTAAAATCGTCTGTTGTGGGTCTTCAGGCTGCTATCCGTGCCCGGGGCCCTGCCTCAATCCAATAGCTCTGGGAAGCCGCTGGCTCGCCTACGCTGAGAACAAGGTGGTCTACACACACACACACACATTCATCATATAACAGAATTGCCTTATCTCAGAGAAACGACATATTTACCCTAAAAATAAAATGCTTTTTATCTGTTTTCTGCTTCTTTAATCTGTCTGGATAAACAACTCATTTTAAGAAGAGTCCACTACAGATGATAACATTTTTGAAAATCAACAGATGTGCAGGCATTGTTAAGTATTTACAAAAACCAGAATGTTCTGCTGGAGGATTCTGCAATACATTTAATGCATAACCGTGTTTTGGTGCTGGGCCACTCAAGTAATTGACAGATGGGACCACTGTTTGTGTGACTGCCTGAGGAGGATTTTCGGAAATGACAAAATGTAGCTTTTTGAACAGTTGGAGCAGGACTGGGGCCGGGCTTTTCAAGGGATGTTGTGTTTGAAATTAAATTAGTGGAGATTGGCTGTTTGGTTTCTCCAGCTCTTTCAGTTTTTTTCCCTTAAGAAAATCAATCTAGCAATGGTTGATAGTCGAACTCAGTAAATTTCTCCAGATTTTCTCATTGTTTACCTCCAGCAGTCTCCTTATTGCTTTGTATGTTTGTCTTTATGGCAGTTAATAAGATGTCACCAGTCTCATGGAGGAGTCTGTGGTGACAACGCACAGTCCTACACAGCTACAGTGATCAATGCTGCTAAAGTAAGCTCACACTTCTCTTCCATCTACCATTGTTTTAATGTAAGAAATTATATAAGCTGCCTGCAGGACAGCTATTTCGTCTCAACTCCACACTTTTTTGCTGATGCTAACTTGTGTTTAGTATTGAAATGAACAGATTCAGTTATTACTAATTTAAAGGTATTGGACCTTTGTGAAAAATGATCAATGTGTGCAGTGCTATCAGGTTTTCATTTCTCCTCAGCAAGTGCCACCAGTATTTTGTTTAGCTTCCATATCCCATATTTTTACCTTCTTACAATAATGGCCTAAAAAAGAACTTCTTATAAATAGGCAATTATTTTAAGAAGATGATATAAAGAAAATATCCTCTCAGCATGATTCTCCCACTACCATGTTGGAGATTGTGTTTTGAGGGTGATGTGAGGCACTGCACATAGGTTTTACATGCAGACATGTTACCTATGACCTTTACATTGCTCATGGTGAACTTTAACTTGGAATTGACCTGACGCTGGCTCTGCCAGTATTGATGGTAAGTTGAACAGAAAGGGTTGAGCTTGTCACATGCTGATATCAGACGGATGTATTTAGCCACAGATGCATCGTTTGCTACAAATGATCTAGAGTTCGCCAAAAGATAGATGTCATTGCATGTTAAGCAACAAAAGCATTATTAACTTTTACAATGGTTTAGGTTTATTTTGTTATTGAAAAATGGAATTGAATGACTTATTTGCATTCTTTATTTTTTCTAAAATTGCATAACATAAGACTATTAGAAAGGCTGTTAGAAAGAGCTTCACACTTTTCCAATTAGGTTATCCAATCATCTGCTTGTGAGAAGAATAGTATAGATTAGATTAGGATAGAATATAATTTATTGATCCACAAGGGGAACTTGCTTATTTGTTGACTAGCTATGTAATCTAAGTGATATATGGTAATTTAAATACACCTTAAATATAAAATAAATAACTTAATGTTGATGTAATCTTAATCTATAAATGTGTCCAAAGAAAATTTAGATCTAAAAACACCCAGATAATCAATTACTATGATAATCGTTAACTGCATCCGAAGTATCAGAATTAAAGAGGATGAAAAGGTTATGCCTCACTCACCTTCCACTTCACACATTTTCACTGCTCTGTGTTGTTTGATTGTATAAAACCCCAATGAAATACAATGAAGTCTACAGTTGTATTAAGACCAAATGTAAATGCATTTTAAAAAGCTTGAATACATTTTGGAGATTATAGTACATAATTGTTTTTCTCACTTTCCACCCATGTTTTAGTAGAGTGATGCATATTGAGAATTTTTCCTTGAATTGATTGGTGCCTGCTTAAAGAAATGTTTTATCATTGGAACTCTGAACTCTTACTTATTCAAACTGTTGAGAGAACAGCCTTTCCAGCTCTGCCTCCACCATCTGTAAATCTATTGACATTGGATCTGCCTAGCTGTTCCTGGCTGACTGGCTCTGAGCTTATGAGACACTTCATCAACCTGCCTGTTTTTTGTTCGCCCTGTAATCTGCTTTTCGCCATTGGTCTTGGTTCACTTGTCTCCACTGGGGAGTGGCTCTAAAATGAGTCACTAACGGCTCACCTCTGATCTTAGGTTAAATGTATTCCTGGCATCATTTAGTCACTGACCAGCATATGCTAATACAATCCCTTGTGGGGATTGTAGTTTGTTTATTTAGTCACAGAGATAAAGATTTATTTTTAGATTAAGTGTATCAAACAGCAAGTGTGTGAATTCTGTAATTACCATAAAAAAGAACAGTGTCATCAGGAGGTTAGCAGGATGTCAGTAGGCTGTTCCATAGCAGGGCTATTGATATGAAGACAGGCATTCTGCACGCGTGCCCTCTCCTCATTTAGAAACATATATCTCAATATGGATGACAAGGTATCTCATTTTGGCTCGTGGCGCGACACGCTGGCTCTGTGTGCTGATGTCCAGAGACAGAGACGCAGAAGGGGGAAGGGGCAACATTAAAGTGTAATGGCTTTTGTTTATAAGAAAGATTAAAGAGAGATAGCCAGAACCATCCAGTTGTTTCTGTCCTGTATGCGCTCTTTGGGCCATACCAAGCCTTTTGCTGATGACTACTTTGCATATGATTTAGAAAGACCTTTTGCACAAATTAGATTGAAATGTGCTCAGATGGCGACATCAGGCTGTTTTTTGTCAACCATCTGACTTAATCGTCTCCCCCGGGCCCCTCCCCCTAACTAAATCAATAGCCCCTGTTTGGACTACCACGAAGAACTCCACAACTGCAGTGATTAGAAAACACATTAGTGTTGATCAATTAGAGGCCAAACGCCTCTCTTAATAATTGATGGCATTTCTTACATTTTACACACGTAAATGCACCCAGGCAGTAGACACTGTTAGTGTGCCTGGCCAAGTGGCAAAGAGAGACAGTAGGTGATCTTCAGACCCAACAAACTGGAGGCGCCATGGTGTATTGACAGGGCCGCCTAGTCTGAATGCTTGATTAGGCTCTCCAGGGCCCCTTTGGCGCTTACACACACGCAGACACTCAGTCACATGCATTGGACTCCATTAGACTAAGACAGTGTAGTACGTGAGATAGACTCCACTTAAGCAGCACTATCCATTTCCCTCAATTGAGCCACAGAGGTGTGTTTGAGCCAGACACCCTGGCTGGACCTTAAGCTGACACAGAGGAGCCCCTCTCACACACGTTGGAGTCTCTTGTGGCGGCAAGACTACAAATAATCAGCACTACAAGTTATCAGTGGAAATCAAGAAAGCATGCTGTATACACCCACACAGATTGTATTTCAAGTATATACCTTGTGCTTCCGAGTTGCGATTTTGTTGTTTTAGAAAAGTAGAGCAAATGGATGCAGAATTAGATTTCTGATTTCTGATGTGTGGATCTGATGAAAATAACTCTTTTTTAAAAACGTTTTTTCAGACTTTGAAAACAGGCCTAACAATGGTGGGCAAAGTTGTGACCCAGCTGGCAGGCACCCTACCGGCAGTCACACCCGACGAAGAGGGGACCCCTCACAGTGCGAGTCACCGCAGCCCCCATAGTCCTGGTGTGATCACCATCATTGACACAGACAATGTTGGCGAAGGACAGGTCAGCTAATGAAACACAGGGTTCTTCACAACACTTGAACTCATGATTTCTGTCATTCCTGCTTATGATTAGTTAATTGTAAATATTATTTGTGTGTGTGTATATATATATATATATATATATATATATATATATATATATATATATATATATATATATATATATATATATATATATATATAACATGTCAATGTATTACTTACCCTTTGCTTGCTTATGTCGACACCAATTAGATCAGTTAGTCACAAACGAAACGTACAACAGAATTGTTAGTGGACTGTGGTCCTTGTACTTGTTCATAACCATTTTTAATTACTTTATTTGTAAATTCCTGATTAGGCTCACCCATTCATCAACCTTTGAAAATAATCTGCTATGTTAACTAAACAACTCTGACAGTCATCTAGAAAAGGTTTAAGATTATATGCAGTGCGTTTTACGGGACCTGAGCCACACTCTAACTTTCTTTGTCAGATCATGGCCCTGACAAACAAATTTTAGAAGATTACCAACTACTAAATGCTTTGGGTCTTAGTCTAATTAGAGAAAAACGTAATATGGATTAAAATCACAGAAGAAGTGGAGGACGAAGATAAGGATAAAGAGTAAGAGGTTAAGGAAAAGGAAAGTCTGTTGAGGTTTCTTGTTCATTATTTTCTGATTCTTTTATTCCTCATTCATCTCCTTAGCCTCCTCCTCTTATTCTCCTATTAGGCCAAGTTCCATGGTGACTGTCACCAGATTTGGGCTGAAAGTCCACCTATTCAGATCACCCAAAAGATAAATTTGCCCTATGAACAAATCTGCCCAATACAGAGCGCAAACTCAAGTTTACCCCTTGACTTACCGCTACATTTACCATGTAGCGGTAAGTTTTTGGGGTCGCTACATGGTTCATATATTTTCTTGTTCTTCTTTTTCAATAGTGCAGACTTAGTCTGATTGGGTGGGAAAGGATTTGAACGAGACTCTTGACTATGGCATTCTAACACATTATTTTATGAAAACTCAATCAGTTATTTAAAAACACACATTTACAACAAATGTCATGTTAGACTAATGAACTTCCAACAATACAAAATGTGCAAGTTATCATGGTGTTTATATCCCACGCATATAAGCACCATGGATTTAGTGACTTCCTACTGTATCTAGATGTAATACCAGAAGGTCTATTTTAGAATTTTACCAGTTAGTCAAAAGTTATCTGTGCAATACTTTGACCTTGCAGCAATCCCTCTTCCTGATCAAGAATGTGGTGACAGTGGAAAGGCTGAGTTTGAGAGGTCATCTGCCATGAGTGACAGGTTTTGGGAAGACCAAACACAAACACAAAACAACCCACAAAAACTACTTCAAGAAGACTTTGTTTTAATAAATAATTTAAATGCTTTGTACAGACCTTGTTATTTGAGGCAAGGTGCAAATGCAGCACTACCCAATGGTGCTTAGTGCTTTTATATTGACACAGTTGGAACTTTACCAGTTGTTGTCTCAATGTCAGATGAAACACTGAACGTTTTTCTGCCTCTTGTTCTCATCAGCTTTACCACATTGTAATTAATCAAAGCGCAGAAGCTGTCATATATTTAATGAGCCGTGGGAGCTTAATACCATTGACACACACACTCACTGCCTCCCCTATGACTCTGTATTCTGCATTTAGTTTGTGTCTTGTACGTCAGACTCAGGCCTTTAAAAGCAAGTCTGCTCTCTGTCACTAAGTGACACACTGTAACTGTACACTAACCATGAAGACTGAGTCAGCCGGTCAACAAAAGTCCAGAAGTTAAATCTCCAGAAGCGGGGGGGGGAATAAGCCAGCACTGAACCAGGATTTCCTTTGGAAATTCTAGATATTTTCGTTTTCTTTAGACTTTGAAATTCCTCATTAGGAGTAGAAAGCTTGTGGGACACCGTCACACTCCCTCCCCTGTGTACCACTCTGTTCTCCACAGGACAGATGTGTTTCAAAGGGCAAAAGCATCTTTCTCTCACAGAACCACCATGTCTGGATTCTCCGTAATAACAGTGAACTGCTTCATGTCAGAGGCATTTTGCTTTTCTTCCTCATCTCCTTTCTTTTATTTTTTTACAACAGACAATTTATTCAACTTTAAGAGCAGCTTTCAGTCATAGTAAAGTGTAATAACAAGATAATATTTGATTTGCGGAAGTAAATTTGTGCATGTTTTTTTTTCCTGTGTTGGTGTTTAAGTATTTTTTGCATAGGATTTTTCAAATGCAGATTAGATTATGAGTTTGCTTTCTTTTCAGAACAGTGGAAGAAGATTTTCTATTAAAGTGTTTCTTTTGTCGAAGAGATGGTGATGGCATCTTACTGAAAACAGCTCAAACTGGCTGTTGTTTCTCTGTTGGCATGCCAAAGAACACTTTTCACACCAAAACCCAAAATGTCAACAATAAATTCTTGAAAAAGGGGAAGTCCCGTTTTCTATTTGTTGTCAGAAAATGATTTTGGGTCTGTGTCCATGTGTGTATACACTACAGGTCCTGGTGAGTGAGGACTCGGACGGAGAGGGAGTGGTGGCTCACTTTCCAGCCCATGACAAACCCATATCCTGCATGCAATTCAACCCTAGTGGTAAGGCCCACTTCCACAGAAACACACACGCACAAGACATACACACAAACGCCGGCTTTTTAAGAGACGGCTTGCATTGAAGACTTGCAAAAAAATGTGCAGTCCTTGGCACTATATATATATATATATATATATATATATATATATATATATATATATATATATATATATATATATATATAAGAACTGGAGAGTGCCTGGAAGGTGAAGACCACAGTGGTGCCTGTGGTCATCACTGTGTGTGTTGCTTCATTAAGTTAAAAAAACAACTGAGTAGTGTTTTTATTGTTGCTGACCAAATTTAGCAATTGAACTATAGATCAAATAATTTAAATCACTTCTTCCCCAGACTAGTTTCATGAAGATAAAAGTTCAGAAAATTTGAAAGAAGCAACTACAAAATTTAAAGCATGCCAATGCCCAGTATTTAGGAATCAGTGTGGATGTTTGGGGTCATATTGTGTGTGAGAACTCTCAGCATGTACTTCTGCCCAGCGTGTGAGTGTGTAAGTTAATAAAAAAGCTGCTGAGAGATGACTTTCACCCCCTGACCCCCAGGAATCCCTCACTTACTGAGACTCAAGACTAACTGAGCAGCTCTGTCTGAGCAGGAAAAGGATTAAAATATGGACAAAGACTGGCCACAGATGGTTGTCTAGACTCTGTCCCTCATTCCTCTCATCAGAAATCAGAAACACATCCCAGGTCATACAAGTTAATTATCAAGAACTTGATCAGGACATATTTTGTACCCATTAAAGAGCTGTGGATTGTACATCTTCCTAGTTGTTGAATCTCTATCACAGTACATGAATAGGAGCCATTGCTTTCTTAAAGATGTCTTTAGTTGATCAGGGCCATGTTACATTTGCATGGCCAAGGTTTTTACAAACAAACCATAATGCTAAAGGATGCAAAATTTGGATGCATTCCAATAGATATTTAGAAATTCTTGAATGAATGTATCTGAAATGTAAAGGTCCATATTCCACCGTGAATTTGAAGCTTCTTCGTTCATTGCAACAGTGTCACGCCAGATGTCATGTCTCTGAAATCAGTTTCATTGCTAAAAAACCGGACAGGAAACCCAGATAAAGGAGTTTGGACTTAATGGAACCAACTCCAGATGAACCCATGGATGACTGATGATTGGGAGGTGAATTTCCACAAATTCTAGAATATCTGGAATGTTCATAACAATCCAGGATGGACTGGGATCCAGATCTGACAGACTGGTTTGTTGGACTGCCAGTAGGAGAACTGGAACCTGCACATATTGAACATGTGCTTCCTTCCATGCGCCACTGACATGGAAGAAAGTTCAAGCTCATCATGACGAAAATAATAGTGTTAGACGAAAAAGGAAATGATGAAATGACTCAGACTAAGTCTGGAAAGCTCAAGTGTTTTGGCTGGGAAGAGTTATAAAACCTTAGTGGCTTGTGTGTGTTAGAGGCTCTCTGAAGGGTGAACAGGAGGCTGCCAGCTTTTGGTGTGGCGCCTAGCACTCTGCGGCGTTGCATTGGATTTGTGTATCTATTCCTAGCGGTGTAATTAGAGGGACGCACATGAAGTGCAGTGGCAAAGTGCTCCTTTAACAGCTGCACTGAGTGTGCTTGTTTTCTTTTGCGTCTCGTTCTTTCTAATCATCCTCAATGATCCTTGACTTGATTATTAGGTGCATTGCCAAGTTCAAAATGTCCTCGTGTTTTCTTGCCAGAGAAGTTAAGGATTTGTTATGACTGACTGGCACTAGATGGAGTGATTGATTCAGCCTTCAGGCTCCACTCTGAGCTCTTAAATGTCTTTCTGCAACAATCTCATTCAGACTGATAAGGATTTAGTGCTTTGCTTGGTTATCAAGTTTGTAACACTACAAAGTGAACATATCTGAAATAACTGATCGACCAGCCTTTCAAACTTAATGAAAATCACATTAACATCTTATAAAATCTTTCTTAATGAATTACAGTAACATTTGTTCTGCAAGTTTTGCCTCCCTGTGTGACAGTCCACTTCTATTTTTTTCTGTTTCAGAAATGCTTCTATTTTACTTTTTCACTACTCACCCTATTTTACTCTAAATTTTTGGGTAAAAAAAAAAAAGTAAACAGTAATTAATAAAAAGTAATAAAATTAATAAAAATATGTTATATTAAAGTGATAAAAATCATTTAACACCATAGAAGCCACACGTGTGACCAAATTATTATTTTGCCTGCAGTCCATTGTGCTTGCCATTAAATGGTGTAACAGTATCTGAGATATTTTGGTGGGAGATTTTTCCAATTAAGAGCAAAGTTGTGACAAAAATGCTGGTAGCCTCTACATCAAGTGCAGCTTCTGTCACAGTTTCTTTTCTTTTCTATTGACAGATCAAAAAGCATAAGAGAAAAGGAGACGCATTTTGTAAAACATCAGGTCGTCCTGTTACAAGCATGCTGCATATATGTTGCATTTCCATTTCTGTTTTTTATAGTGTGTTTGTATTAGGATTAATAATTATTATTTCACTCTTCACCAAGTCAGCATGTGTTATCCTACATTTGCTGGAATGTCATTGCTTTGTTATATTTAAAACATTTTTCCATACCAAAGGATCTTGATATCCGATGCACTATAAACATTCAGTGAATTCATCCTAATGGGATATTAGGGATGTGGTAGGAACTTATAATTGAATTGATAGTGTAATGTTTACATTGTTCTTGCTTTTATTCCTTTGTGATAATACATACATGTATGGTATAGGCAACATCTCAGTGTTGTAACTCTGATGCTGCTGAATTTTTCTAAACATTTGTAAACAACCTGTTTATCCTGGTGATCACATAGTGCATGCTACAGTGTCATAGGTGGTGCTGGAACCTGTCATTAAAGCCAAAAGCTAATGTGAAATAGTGTGATGTGAAATAAGGATAGTTTATTGGGATTCCAGCATAACTCTTCCACATCTGTTGATGTAATATGAGTTGGTGACCTCTGATTATTCTTCTGCTTTTCTAAGGCTGTCCCACTTTGCAGGGTAATATTTTAAATTTGTTTTGCTGTGGAAATAAATGTACAATAACTGAGCTGTCCTCTGAAATGTTCTTTTGGCCACAGAAACAACCTTGAAACTCCCAAGATACGTACCACTCACATACAGAAACAAATGGGTTCTACTTGTTTTAATGACGAAGAAATAAAGGAGAAATTCTAAATTCTGAAATAACTTGGAAGCAAGTACAAATAAAAGCCATTAGTTCATCTGTTAAAATTATATATTTTCCTCTGGGATTGAAGTATTATTTATTCACTCATTCATTCAGACATGAATCTAGTAGGTAACTGTAAATTTAACATCCTTTCCTGAGTAGTATAAAGAACAAAAATGTCAGATATAACTGTGTGTTCATCCTAATGTGGAGAAAAGTCTCTTTCATTGCCTTTTTCAGTCTCATAAAACTGTTTTTTAGCCATCTAGATGTTCTGAATATGGAAGTTTTGAATATCCCATCAAAGCCCTGGGTAATGGCAGATGAATCAAGGCTAAATTTCTCCCCACACGGAACTGTCCCATAAACCATATTCCTGGTTTAGTAACATGCCGGTCTAATGAATAGCCAGGCCTGTCGTGCCTGACCATTGAGGCAGCTGTGCCATGAAGGCAGCTCTCCGTGGTGTAATAACTCCTTCGCTGCATCTTACTGATGTGTGAAAAAAACCAGGCTGCCGCTGAAAAAACGCTCAACCCACATGCACATGTTGAACACGAGGGGAATTCCCACACACAAGCAGCCTGACTCAGCCACACACTTCTCGCCACACATTTAGCTTGGATTGAGTTGTGTCTTCACACTAAGATAGTAATTAGCACTCACAGCTGCCTCACATGTGATTTACAGTTATTACTTTGGAGGGATACTGTTGACGTTTTCCAGCTCTGTCTTGGAAAGAAAATGTTGTAACCTTTGTAATGTTGCAGGGTTTTCTATAGACTGAAGTTTTTTTTTTTTTTTTAAGTTACTACTTTTGTTAGAAATGCTACCTTGTCATCTAGGCTTCAGTGGGATGACCTACTGGCTTTAATAGCAGAGAGAAAAAAGAAAATTAGATGTTCATTTTCCATAAAGTAAATTGCTATATGTATTCACTGGTAGACATGATGTGGTTTCTACACCAGACACCTCAACAGTGTAGAGTTACTAAATACCCGTACAGTTGTGTCCAACTGAGACGACATCAAGAGGAAAAGCAGCTTAAGTGAGACTACAGTTTAAAATTTGTTCAAGCCGAGAGTCAAACTCAGGCAATATTTTCCAAAAGAAAAAGAGATAACTTTGTCATATTTTTTTTGTGTAGATGGATATTTAATATTTTTTATGCTACTGAATAATTCAATTGGATATTTAATATAATTTATAATTTAAGATTTTTTATGTTACTGAATATTTCATGTCATGTAAAAAGTAAGATAAAAGAATATCTTTTTTACAACATGTACAATATTTGGTGTAGATTAAATTGACTCCCACATTCTTCCCATGTAAAGTAGCTGAAATACTACCTTGGCTTATCACATGATGACTAGAAGATCTTCACCTAATGTTTTGAAGGATGTTTTCGCCTTTTAGACCCTGGTATGCTTTGCTGTTAGCTGCTGAAATAAGAATTTGAAATAAGAATAAGAAATAAGAAATAAGAATAAGACCATGTTATGGTCTTCAGAAACATGTTATGGTCTTCAGAAACAAAGTACACTAGCTGTGTTTCCATTGACCATATAATTGCACAAATTACAATTGCGAAAATATATTTGCTCAGAGCAAATAAAACAACTCACGTTATTCGTTACGGTGTGTCAGGATAATACGTTTTCTCAGGTTTATTGTAATTTGCATATTTCTCAAAATTGCAATGGAAACACTTTCTCACATCACAAGGGTCGTGTGATCAACAACCAGATGTCACTGCTGGTGGAAAAGACAAAGACAGAAGTGGTAGGAGAATGATGGCAT